GGACATTTTAGTATTGATAAAGCATCTGGTGTTATTACATAGAGAGTAGTAGGCCTGTCATGATAACTATATTGACTTATCGTATATATGAAAGCTAGAACAATATATTTTGGGGCTCAATATTTATCGTGTGTACATTATCTTTGTATTAGTGTTGAGATTTGTGTTATTTTATTCGTAATACAACAAGATTTAAGCAATAGAAAGCTGAAAATTAATTATTGCTTTATTCTGCTATTTAGTTGTTGGAGCTCATGTCTTTTAATGACACTGTCAATTTAACTAATGGTGTACTGGGATAATCTTGCTTTATTGTTATTGTGCCAATGGCATAAAGTAGTTTCAATATTATGGTTTATCACAGTATATCTCTGTAGTAATATATTGTACTTTGAAATTGCTCTTGTGAAAGGCCTAGAGAATAGTGCATATGGTCCCATTGTACCCTGGTCTGACCGATTGTAGGTGCACTGTACTGTAGCAGACAGGCAGGGTCACTTAAGTGTCTTTGCTGGGCTTCTACTCCACTGCAGATAATGTTTCCAGCTTGGATTTCTCTGGGCTCAAACAGAGACAGCCACTGAACACCTTACATAACTTGGTGGAAAAGATAGAGGTAAAAGGAGTGCTTTGAAAGGCAGCACCCGTGTCTGTCAAAAATTTCCAGTGCAAAAAGGCTTTTAGTCACAGTGAGTGGCGGCGGGATGCTGGAGGGACTTTCTATAGACACCTGGACAGCAGAGGAATGTAGCACGAACAAGCTAAACCTGGCTGTATTTGCGCCTGAATAACAATTACAGTCATTCCTCAAATCTCAGTACCCTTTTTGGTTGGTTCACATGACATCACATTTTATAATCCCTATACCCTATAACTTCTACAAAGTTCTATGGTGAAATTGGCTGTGTGTAATTGTCAGATTGGAGATTTGTTAACCTGTTTTATGGTTAATATCTCTCTAATTACTGGACCTATTCACATGAAACAAAAACTTTCACTAAGTTCAATTCTGCCAGTATAAATAAACAAAAGTTACCTTTTCTTAACAGTAGCTTCAGAAATTGGTGCCATTATTGAGGTCAAAAGATGGTGATTGTTCAGTTAAAAGTACTTAATGTCATCAGAATAAAATCTTGTGTCAGGATGTTTGTGGAGGTAATGTTCAACATTTGTGGACATTAAATGAGTCCCCTGAACAGGTGAACAGGCCCCTGACCTTCATCTGAAATTATGACATAATCAAATTCTACTTTATGAATACAATCTATTAAATATGGAAGTGAGCAAATACCACTCTCCCAGTGACCAGGGTGGCTCTAACAATAATCCTAGGAGGTTTGGCTGCGTGTATATGTGTTCTGTGCCTTTTTATCTCTGCATGTATATTTTGCGTTATTTTCTTTAGCATCTGTGCTTTTCATTTTCTGACAACACATCAGTCAGGTGCTCTCCAAGGACCTAAATTGGGGAGTATAGTGACAGATAGACACTTGGAAAAAGGGATGCGATGTTGGGACACTTAGAAAAGAGGTGAGAGATATTGAAAGTAAAGGAGAGTGAGTTTTGAAAGACTCCTAACTTCCAAGCCGACTGTCATAGTTATGCTTGCCAGAGGGGAGAGCACCTTTAAGCATACTGGATGAGTGACTATGTGGAGGGACTACAAACGCACAGTAATACATTATAAGCAGTACTTTACACTCTGCCTGCCAACCTACCGGAGGGTGATGGGGGATTCAGAGCTGCAAGATGGGTCAGCAGCAGTCTGGCACTGAAAAAGGAACTCCTTTTTTAATAATAACAATCACATCTGAAAATAACAAAAACAGTCATTACCATTGTATTATTACAGATTAAGAACATGATACATTGTTGTATTGGTAGTTTGCAGATTCTAAAATGTGATGTTGCCATTCTCCCAGATGGGGGCAAGAGACTGTTTTTCCTAGTAATAACTTTGTACTTAATTTCTATTACTGATAAGACCCAAGAGCTCACTGTATTACAACAACAAAGCATTTTAACAATATTACTTTTACAGGTTTCCCATCTGTTATCAACAACACTGGCCAGTAGAATGTTGTGATGTATATCTGAAACCCAGCAATAAAGGATGTAGGGTTGGGATGGCATTGGTAAAAATGTTACTGAAACCTAAACTTTGATGAATAGACTAAACCTAACCTGTAGCTCGCCAAGAGATTTCTGAATTATATATATTGAGCTGAATAACTAAATAAATTAAATGCCTATTAGCATTGTAAAAGTATACCTTTGTGCACTAATAAATGGATAATGGTTATGTTTTATAGGCTTCTAACGGTTCCCATTTATGCCCATGGATCTATTCAATTTATTGCAAGTGCTAAAATTAGTAGCTCTCTGCTATTTTCATTTTGTAAAGGTAACTCGCCGCAGGAAAAAGGTTGGAAACCCCTGGGCTAAACAAAACAAGCCCACGATTTGGCTATAGAATAAGAATTATACTTGCATTACACCTGTGATTTTCCATCGGACAAAATTACATCTATAATTGTATTTCATAATATTGCAACATTGATTGTGCAGCATTAAAAAGGAGGAACACAGCTGTTATGCTCCATTGGGCCTGAACTAAAAGTCACATAACAAGAATAGCCCACCCAGTGAATGATGCAGTATCCTTGGTTACAGGAAAAAAATAAATCTATCATATCAAATTTGCAGTCTTTGCGGGCTGATCTTTTGCCCAGGAGTGCGGATGCGAGTGCTGCCCACTGTGTCAATACAATGCCCTGCAGTTTGTTTTGTCTCACCACCCACAAGTCAAACATTCAGATGTTTTTGTGCCTTTATTGACATTATGCCAAAACCAACTCTCTGCGTCCTGAAGTCTGAAAATCCTGCTTGTTCCCTCCGACATCTTAACTCTGACAAAACAGACAAGATTTCGATAGATTCCCACCTGTACTATTTTGTTATACTTACAGCGATATAATGGCATATTGGCGATAAACGCATAATAGTTCTTTCTGCATATTTCTTCAGTTCATTTCAATCCTTAAGATGCAGGACAGCTCTTTTGTAGTCACTTTATTTTGAAGAAATGGTAATTATGCCCCAGTGGAAGCTAGCTTTACCAAAATGCATTAGAGCCCCAATTCACTTTTTAAATTTTTTTTTAAAATAATCAAGTCGTGACTGTCATGTTCAAATTTTAATTTTCACTATGTTTGAGAAATGCAAATTTCAAACTGTCTTTAACTTAAAGGTCCTATGTTGCATAAAAATCGACTCGTGTGAGTTTAAGCCGTTATAATACTGCTACCTGATAAAGGTGTGAGTGTGCTTTGTTTCATTCACATGTTTAAATAATCTTTTATTAGTATGTCTACATCTCCAAAGGTCGAAATGCTCTGTTTCAACTTGCGATGTCATGAAGCGGTGGGTTTCAATTTAACAGCTTCTTTTTACATTTTGTTTAGTAGAGACGGGAAATTTTAGGGCTGAAATTATCCAAAATGATTCTAGTGAAGGTGTATAGAGTTTAAAAACACAGTGGAGCACTTCCTGTATTACCAATGCCATCACAAGGTGCAACAGAGTGTTTTCTGTTTGAACTCAAAACTAAATGTGCAGCGTTTGTGTGTTGTGTGTTAGTGAGTGAATGAAACAAAACACAACATCAGGTAAGTTTTTGACGTTTTTAACATAGATCAGAAATAACGCAATACAGGCCCCTTACACGCAAAAAGAAGACACCTTCCTCTTCTGTTGCGGCTGCTAAATTGCCTAAAGGAGACAGTGAAGAACAAAACGAAGCTGTGATGTTCCTATAAATTTCATCGTCCCCCTCTTCTGCGGCATGTTACACGTGCAAAGTAAAGTAAAGCGCACACAAGGCTAATGATGTTGAGCTAGCGATCATTGCATGTAGCTCGTGCGGTTTTATTTTGGAGAAAAAAAATGGCTCAGCCTTGAAACAAACTTAACCTACAAAAAATGACAAGTTTGGAAAAATAGAATTAATGAAAGAAATAAACTTAATAACTACTGGATATCTTCATCTTGGTTTACTTCGAGGACTCATGATTGAGTGAAAGGGCGTCGACAAATCGTTTCTAAAAGGCCCATTATTATTTTCTGATCTATGTTCTAATCTTGTTTCCTCATCAACATACCTAGTGTAGTGTTTTGCTTTATTCACACATAATTGTGCATATTTAGGCTGTGTGCTTCTCTCAAACAGAATACACTCTGTTCCACCTTGTGATGTCATCTGGTAATACAGGAAGTGCCCCACTGGGTTTTTGTTTTTTTTAACTCCATACGCTTTCTCTAGAATCTTTTACATAATCTCAGCCCTGGAATTTTTAGTCTCTACTAAGCAAAAGTTAAAAAACTATCTCTCCACAACATTGCAAGGTGGAACAGAGCATTTTGAGCTTTGGAGATATAGACAGACTAATAGCAAAGAGTTACTCAAATAGGTGTGAATAAAACAAAACACAACTCCACTATGTTATTGATGAGGTAACATTACAACATGGCTAAAAGCTCACAAGAGTCAAGTTTGCATAATATAGGGTCTTTAAATGCTATGTATCAAATTATAAATGCTATATTGCAGTTTTCACCAGTATAGATATGAAGCTTAGGCTGCAAATACAAATCTAATTTGTCAAATCATAATTATATTTACTGTTTGAGAAGAACCCAGGCTATCCAGCTGCTCCATATGGTTACCAGGGCAGCCACACAGTCTCAGTGCTCCCATATCGTACGCTATTCAATCAAAAATAAACCAGGGGATTTATCCAATATATCCACAAATGTACTGTACAAAACTCGCATTTGGATTTATATGATTTTTTAAGGCTATGCACTGGAAACAATGCTTGGATCTGGGGAAAAGGGATTTGATGCTCTGAAATCCAGGTCAGACGCAGTCAGATTAACCCTTGATCTGGACAGAAAAATTCCTGCATCCAGCGCTCTTATGGTAGGACACTGCACAATGATTAAAAACAAAAGACAGGAATTTATTCACTTAAAAAGGCAAATGTATTACATTTGTGTGTACAAACATTACAGAAACAGACATGAACATAAAATATAAATCATTCACATGGTAAAACACAGATGCTTCTAGCTTTAGTGAAAGTGAGTGGAGCTGTGGCAGACGTTCCTGTAATCTTTCTACTAAGCGTGTCAAGGATGTGAAATTAAAGAGGATTTAAACTGTCCATGTATGATAGGGGACTTGATAAAATTCAAGACAATTTTCCAGAAATTAGGAATTCTTAGAAGCCCAGCCAAGATTAATTTGAGATGTTGGAATAGCTTTTATAAAATGTTACAAATAAAAAGGATAAATCAGAGAAAAAAGGATTGCGACTGCTACTGCCCCACCTGCTTCGTCATTACCTCCATTATCAGGGCCATAATTTTCAAGTGCGTGCTGTTTTTCTGAAGTGTCACGCTGGCTTTTAAAAGGGGGGGCTACATTTTGCCTAACATCAGTTGCTAAGTGCCACTGCAGCGTAGATGAAGTTAAAGTTTCAGCAGTCCTATCTGGAAAAAGCACGACGCTTATTACACGGCTCAATTTCCAATTCTCTCACAGGTACACACACAAACACACACGCACATGCAGAATACAAAATGAGACCGTAGAGCCAAACAATCTCCCAGACAGGCTCAGTGATGCAAAAACAAGCCAACAAAAAGGAAAGACAGCTATTATGTGGGGCAAGAGCTCGTAGGAACTATTCAGATCTGCCTGTATTTTGACAATATCTTCACACATGGAGGGGACAGTAAAATTTATCACATTAGATCAGGCTGTTGTGTGGTAAAAACAAAGGCAGATTAGCCCAACTGCTCCATGGGCTTTCTAATTTAGCACAATTTGGAGTTTTAATTAGGGCTGCTAAGGAAAATATTTAATTGTGATTTTTCTAATGATTAGATCTGTAATTTTTGTTTTAAGAAGAGAATTCTTAGTTTTCATTCAAGTTCACATTTTAAACGCATCCAGGTGTGTTGACAAAAAGATGAATAGGCCTACGGACTAACATAGAAACTAATATATAAAAGAATCACATGTATTTCAGAACATGTTTGTCTAAATTAGTAGTTTACTATGCAGAGTAAGACAGGAGAGTTTATGGAGGAAATAAGGGTACGTAAAAAAAAAAAGCCAGTGCTACTTGCTAATTGCGTACATTCAAAAAGTTTCTATTTGATTGTGAGTTTTAATCATGTTTTATCTGTGTTACAGCATTGTTTAATATTCAGTTGGCGTAATCATAATGCATGTTCCTGCGTCAACAGAGTATTAAAGAAGTCGCATTATTAAAGGTCCTACATTACGCAAAAACTGTGTCTTGAGCGTTAAGCCAAGTTGGTACATTGCGAGTTGTGTTTTGTTTCATTCACACATCTCCAAAGGTGAAAATACTCAGTACCACCTTGTGATGACATGAAGCTGTAGTTTTCAAAGTAACAGCTACCTTTAACCTTTAGTTCAGTAGAGATTGGCTATTCCAGGGTTGAAATTATCCATGTGATTCTCGTGAGTGTATGGACTTTAAAAGCACAGTGGAGCACTCCCTGGTGGAACATCACAAGGTGGAACAGTTTGAGTGAAGAACTCAAACATGTGTGAATGAAACAAAACACAACTCCAGGTAAGTTCTGATGAGGAAACAACATTATAACAAATCAGAAAATAGTGTAATATTGGCCCTGCGAGTTGGATATTTCTGAGGTGGCAATCACTTGAAATTACTCCAGTTAGCAGGCAATAGCTTTAATTGCAGTACAGATATATTACTAACAGCTATACAGCCTCTAATCTCTAGCATTGGCTGGTCTGACATGTTCAGGGCAGTGTTCAACCTTTCATTTATGGCTGCTAGTGGGGAGCCTTTTGAGTCCACCTCTGTTGGAATCCAAGCTGTGTGCTGGTTGTTGTCAGTGAAAGTGCCCCTAGAGCTCAAACATAGCTGATAATATCTGTATAGACCAACACAGAAATCTATTTTAAGTATTGCTTCTTGTGTTGTCATGTTAGCTCCTCTCCTGCTGGGTTTATGGCATTTACAGATGTTAAGTTTAAGATTTTCTGTGTAAAAAGCACAAGATCACACAGCTAGATCTAAGAGTTATCATGACAACGCAGTTAGGTTTCTTCATGTTTACAATCCTTATATGACCCAAATACTTCATATTTGTTGTGGAGGCTATAAAAGTCAAGTATGGTGTTTTCTTTATACTGTACAAATCTTTGGTAATGATCAGTGCATATAAGTGAAATGTGTAAGAACAAACTAAGCAGAATTATGTCTCTGCTGTGGTCACAGAATAATAACAATACAGCGCTGGTGAAAGAGTTGAGTGCAATACTTTTTAAAATTTACTTTAAAAACTTCATTCTTTCTTGGTTGTATGAGAAAGATCGCAATTTCCCCCACTCCCAGTGCCTCCTAACTCATTTTGGTCCATTACAGGCACCTTGCAGAGAAGGTACTGAGGGTCTGTGTCTGGCTTCATGTCGTTTTGATTAAGTAAGAGAGCAAGCCTAGTGCCCTTCAAATAAAAGATAAAAAGTGTTTTTAAAGGCACAGTTGTCAAGGCTCCTACCTCTGGATATACTGATAAGAGCATGGAGTTATACATTCATTAAAAAACATCAACTGCATTTGGTTTCAAAATTAGATTAGAAGAGATAAAACTTTTGGTTTACTAGCAAAGAAAATATCAGTGTTAAAATAATGTATAAAGACACACATAAAGAAAAAAAATCCATGATTGTGAACAAGGAGGTAAAAAGTGCCTGGGGACAGGGTCAGCGGAGGTCAAAGGTTACCCTCGTCAAGCATCTTGTTGACGCCATTGCAGATTCTTTGCAGGTGCACACGGTAAACCTCGGAGGGTCCGTAGAGCGCCGCCAGGAAGTCACAGTCAGAGAAGTGATTGAAGACGTGGTTAATGCGCGCATGGCTCTTGGCTGTCAGGTGCCTCTTGATGGCCTGGTGCAGCAGGTCGCGGCAGTCATTCAAAATGGCGCTCATCACGCGACGGTCAAAGGTGAACTCGATCTGGTGGAAGCTGACCGCAGTCATGGCCAGAGTGTGCACCTTTTTCCTAAAATTTAAAAAAGGAAGACATCAGTAATAGGTAGCGATGAGCAGACGATACAACTATTGATATATTTACCACCATACACATATTGGCTATGTATGGTATTGAAAGTTATTTCATGCAAACATATCAATATTTAAAATTTCTTTAAATTTAAAAAAAAAAAAAATACAAATTCTACTTTGATTAGCACATGAAATTTGACTAAAGTTGTCTTTTGTGTGGAATTTTGGGGCTGCTGTGATCAATAATCCTGATGCCGGTATTAGATCAACTCACTGGTATTGCCCATTATTAGGATTAGTTATAATAGGATATAATAAAACAATATACAGTTTAATAAGAATAAAAACTATAATGCTACAAAAGTTCATATGTGTAAAGTAAGCAACCAATACTATGAATAAGTACAGTATATGGACAATAATACCATGACTGCAAAGGAGAGTCTACATGAGTCTATATGAACACATGAACATGAACAGAATACAGACTGCATGGACCAATGGGTAAAAATAGAAAATGCCAGGGAATAGCTTTTTCTTTTGGCTTCAGTTTCACATCCTCATATAGTTTTATAGTATTGTCTTATCACAGCAAAATATCCCCTTACTAATATAATCAGCCTTTTCCCTGTTGTGCACTCGAATCACTTCCACTTACCTCCAAAAAGAGCTTTACAATTTAATGGAAAACATATAAACTGCAAAAATCAATTCCCTTAATTTGCTTCCATCAGCATAGACAAAAACAGTTTTATTGAACTGAATCTGAACAACTGAAGCGCTCTCAGTGCTATGTTCAATAAATGTAAGTAAAGGTAAACGTAAAACCTTTTGCCATGGAGATGTTCTTTTGTCTGGAATGCTCCACAGTATGGCATTAAACATCCATCAGTCCATTTCTATCTGTTTTTACATTACTGATGTTTTCAAAAATATCTAAACATGCACTCATACAGTGAGTGGGCTTGCTTCTACACAGATTCGACCTCTGGTGGTGTCATCTGATGTGTGTGTGGATACTTTCAATAGCTGTGGAATATTCTGGCCAAGACAAAAACATCTCCATGGAGACAAGCAGGTAGCAGACCCTCCACCAGAAAAGTTACATAATGGATCTTTTAACAAAAAACTAAACTAAAAGAATTTGTAGTTTGTATATATCATTATGTCATCCCTTAAATGTTCATAAATACCTGAAGTTCTCCACCAGGATCAGCTCTTCATTGTTGAACTGGTTGTTTCTGTAGAGCACGCCCAGCTTCACCACCATCTTGATCAGGTTTTTAATGACTTTCTGTGACTCTTTACGGTTGTGTGTGTACTCTTTGGTGACCCGGTAGAGCTCGTCCAGGACCTCGCTGCTGGTGTCATCAATAAACAGACTGGCTACGCTCTTGGTGGCCATCTTGCTCATGAGCTTCTTCTGAGCCTGCAGTGCCAGACTCTTGGTGCTGAAAGAGTCCATGGTCAAGGGCACACTGTGGGAGAGATACAGAGTGAGTGAGAAAAAAAACAAGTATATTTTTAGGGGGAAAAGGTAGAATAAAGTACACACACAGCAGTGACATGGCCCTGGTATAATCCATGGGGGTGAGACTTCAGAAATAACATCTTCTCCAACATGATCTAAACGATAGGGCTTCAAACTGTCCCCTTTATCACATAATGATCCGTGGCAGCTGTCAAATTATTCCCAGCACCCCCAAGCTCTGAGCCTACGAGGTAGTTAGAAGAATGTGTCATTAGAAGCGTAGGAGTTCAGTCAGTTACAGACCACTCACAAGAGGAGACAATGCTACCTGGACCTGGGCAAAATCCAATTCAAGAACAAGCAGAGAGTGAAACAAGAAATAACAGACTCCACAGCAGCAAATGTTCTATTTATGTTACCACTGTGTTACAATATGTGTATGTGTGTGTGTTTATGTGTGTATATGTGTGTATGTGTGAGTGTGTGAGCATGTGTGTGACTGAGACACACTGGAGCTGTACTCATAAAGTGTTAGGGGTCACAGGAGTCAGCTCTTCGTACTCTCCCCTCCATCTCTAATATCGAATGGGCCACTACATCCCGGCAGCCGCATTTCAATGAGTTTCACGGGTGACTACCTCAGGTTTGTATAATATTATTTTTGAAAAAATAGAATTAATCTTTTTCTGAGCACTTTGGGTCTAACCTTCACACTTCTCCAAGGATAACCTGGAAGGACAGCTCAGTAAACAGACATGAACTGCTGTTCCAAGTGCCGCTCTCAAAGCAACAGGGGAATGAAAAAGATTGAGTGGGATATTACCATTGTGGCATGGAGTGATGTGATGGACATGTAAAACATCTGAGGCCTGCTTTATTATGCAAAACCTCATAAGGGTAATCTTTAATCGCCTTATTCCATGCTCATATATCACTGCTCTAAGGCTGTCATAACAAATGTATTTATATTTGGGTTAAGTGTCACATTCACATCACAACAGAATTATTTATGAGACAGTATACTTCTCGTTTGAAGTAGATTGAAAGTGAGTTTGATTGGAAAATTACCTAGAGAAATTACCGCGCAGTCATAAGAGTCTCAAAGTGTGAGAGGTGCCATTAGTGAAGCAGACAGAGTGAGCGATGACATCCCTCCGGTGACTTGTGATTTTATCGTTGTTGGTTGACGGCGGTAGTCTGCTGCTACACTGGGTGACTTTCATTTCTCTCTCACTGCCTATCTCTGCACGGTCCCTCTAAGAATATCAATAAGACTCCTTAGAGAGCATCAGCAGGAAGCATCCCGAGGAAGAACACTCAAGAGGCAAGATACAGCAAAACCCCGACACAAAAGGTGTGTTAGATATTGCCCTGAAACACAGAGGAAGTCTGGCTGTTCTGTCATTCATATGAATCCCACTTTTGGGCAGGAGGTGTTTAATCTGGCCTCTCACTGAGCTGCTGATAAAGGCTCCCCATCCACTCTGACAACGCCATAAGAACTCCAAACTCTCCAAGCTGCTTGTTAGAAAAGTGTCATGATGCAATCTGCATGAAATAGACAGGATTGGGAAAAGACACTGATGATTAGAAAATAAGAAATTGTGATTTCACCAAAACTAAAAATAACCAAAATATCCATTTTGTAAACACTAGGAGAAAAGGACACTGTAACTAAATCTCTCATGTGGTAAACTAATTAAATAGAGAGTGAATGGATAATAGACTTTATACAAGAAAGAGGCAATCTCCTTATTTTTATATGTGAAGGGCATTACAGTGCTCATTACATTCAGCTCATGTCTGGAATCACAGTTATCATAGCTGTCAATGCTGTTTGCCTGCTGATGAAACAGAGTGCCATGAATACAAGCCCCTTCAGTGTTGTGCCATGGACTTTCATTTGGAGATGAAACGTGAGCTCTATCTTATGGATAGAGGGAAATCCTCCTCACATTGAGGTTTGTCTCCCAAGGGTGAAAGACCAAAGTGTACTTGAATATATGAGGCTCCTGGGAGAAGAACAGAAATGATTAAAGCTTTAATAGCTACAGCTAAATCAAGTTGCGTATGTTATCTCTGAATATAAAGTGTGGTAGTAAGAAATGTAAAAGTAATGCTGTGGACAGTGAGAAAACCCAGAGTCAGCGTCTCTATTGTAGTTCAGATCCAGACTTTAGACAGAACAAGACACAACAGCACGACAACCACAATGTGTCTGGGGAAATACTCAGGCCAGTCATCATCATATGCATATACATACATACAAGTACACACAAACATGCACACAGCATCTAGGCAAATGAAAACCAAAAAGACTGCAGCAGTAGCCTCCTTGGCATAACTCAAGATTATAACTAGAAACAAGTACATGAGCTGACAGCCTATTAACAACCAGCCTGGGTAGGTTAACACACTGACATGAAGGTAATAAGCCAAGCTAACATGAGTCATGGAAATGAAACCAGAGCTTCCTCTGTGGTTCTGGGTGGACCTCCCGTGACAGAGAAATATACTCGGGGAGCGTCAGTCTGCAGGTGGAGACAGTCCTGTCAACTCTATGACAGGTGGAGCGCAGAGCAACGAGGCGGCCATGATTGAGAGGTAAACTTGGTGACTTTTCTTTGTCCTTGGAGGAAAAGATCTACTTTGTTACATGGTTTATCTCCTCTTTTAGGACAAGTAAAGCTACATAAAACATGACACATAACGCATTTGGGAAAAAGGATGTGACTGCTGGCAACATGTTAAAGCATCTTCCTGTAACATGCTCCTTGGAGAGTATGATTAATACCAGAGTATCTTACACTGTAAAACTGGACAGAACATCCACAATCTGACTCATCAACCACATTATCTGTGCTTATATGGGCCTGGGCAGGATTATGGATCACAGTGGGACTTCACTTGAGTTTTACAAGAAGCTAAAATGGATTCAAAAGCAAACATGCATTAGCCCACTGTTCCCAAAGTGTGGGTCCGAGCCTAGGGGAGGGTGTGGGTTCAGTTTGAATCACAACAAAATATAGAGACAGGAAGTACTGTTTGCATGTTAACAGTCTTGCACACATGAAGACATAAATCTTGCAGAGCTTTTAGTTTTGGTTTTCACAAAAGCTGCAGATTGAAAGTTCACATTGTTCAGACACAATATTTTTTTTCCATTTTACAGCATCACTACAATACAAAACAAGAACAACAAGACAAAACAGCTCTTTCCTCTTTCTCTGCTTTGTTTATTCCTGTTGCCTGACAAATAATGACAATGAAAATGTTTTGAGCCATAAACATGTTTACAGTTAATCCCATTGTAAAGAGAAGATGCTGCTTGATGTGAGAATAGCATTGGTTTTCTAAAGGCACACACAGAGCAAACTCCAGCAGCCTCTCTGCACTGGGACTGTATACTCACCTGTCAGTCAAACACTGCTTTGGCGTGACAGGTGAAAAAGGGACAGAAATTGGCATCTGCCTGCAATACCTCATGAAGAAACTGCATGCACTCACAGCCTCACTCATTATTGATGTTTACAATTATATCTGAGCATCCCTGTTATCGACTAACAGTGAAAAAAACAAAACAGAACAAAACAAAAAAAAAAACATCTGCAAGCAAATAAATTTCCTATCTTAAAAACTATTTGCTAAATGGGCTAGGGATGTGCAATTAATAACATTTTTATCAAGATTCAGTGGTTACCAATTATGCTTGTGTATTTTAATTGAGAGGTCCACAGTCATTCCTCTGTCAATAAAAGCATAATTTGGAGTTCATACTTTAAAAGGAAAAAGCTTTCAATTTTTGTGTTAAATGGCAATGGTTATACCTTAGCCGAAATTAGTCAATGAGGATAACTGAAAAGGTTTTGCAAGAACCAAATGGTCAAGAAGAATGTCCTTCAATGTATGTACTTTCAAAAAAATTCTATTTTTTTTATTTTTTATTGGCTATTGCTTGGTCTGGTCTGAAATGGTTACTTTCTGTGTTTTGAAGTTTCAATTGCGTTATACATGGTAAATGGTCACATTTTTCTATAGCGCTTTTCCACCTTCAAGGCACTCAAAGCGCTTTACAACAAGGAACAACTCACCCATTCACGCACCAGTGTACGCAGACACTGTGGGCAAGGTGGGTTAAGTGTCTTGCCCAAGGACACAACGGCAGCATTCATCTGTGGGAGCTGGAATCACACCAGCCAACCTGTGGGTCAGTGGATCTGACCGCTCAACCTATGATGTTTATGTTGAGAGCGGGATCTGAACCGCCGACCAGTGGGCGAATGCTCTACCAACTGAGCTACTGCCACCCATCATCTCTTTTGTTTGTCGATATGACTTACTGGCAACCGATACCTGCCAGAATAACCACAAATGTACTTCCTGCATCAAGACTTTAAAAACTTTTTTCTATCACACACTTTATCCAAGAAGTGATTGGTTGGTTTATGGCAGCTGAAAATGCCATGACTTTTATGCTCCTTTAGGGATCAATAGTTTCATCTCGTCACTATTGGGATTGGAGAACAGTGATCCCAGAAGCGATGGGGAGCCATGAAAACTTTTCAGCAGTGAAAGGATGCAACCAATTACTGTAAGAAGTGGTAAGCGCTATAGGCAGTGAGGATCTTTTGTCCAATACACAAATCTCAACTGCATCCAATTTGTTTATCTACTTTAGTAATGTCCTTCCCGTAGACTGTATGTCACCCATAGTGTTCGGCTCCAGTCAAATGAAGCTCACGATGCTAGCGGTAATAGGGGCGAATTTTGAGCCAAGTTCCATATTAGGAATAGGAAATTATTTATGGACAAAAACATAAATAAAAGCAGTTACAGTTCCTATTTGGAACGCAGCTAGCGGGTTAGTTGTGTCCATTTACACAGTTTATAGTCCTTCCTGCTGAAATAAAATGTAGTGTTTTTACCATGCCTATGATGATAATCAGACAATAATTTTGCAACTCATCCAAATTGTGCTAAAACATGCAAAATCTGGGATTGAGGTTCGAGTATCACAATTAAGAAACACAAGAGAGCAGATATATTACAAAATACCCATGTTTTTACAAATGTTTACATTTACAAGAGGTTTACAAAAGATGACATTACAAGTTTCTGTGCTTTAAACTTTGTTAAAAATGACTCTAAAAAAACACTTAGATTTATCAATTTGTTTATAAACGCTATCTCCCACCTCTAATCCTAATCCCGTATAATTGACCTGCTGAACATCTTGGTGACCCAGAGGTGAACATATGAGCCATTGGAGTCCCAGAGTTGACCTTTGCCATATGTCCTGCCATGAGTTCCCCCCCCACACACAAACACTGATGCAGATCTGTGCTGTCAACAGTCCAACAGACAAATCACAGCACAAACAGAATCACTGAACAGCTGTTCACACGGATTTAGCTTTAATTATGATCTTTTAAAACCAAGAGAATGAAAATAAAATATTCTGTTTGTGTTTGCTGATCCAACCAAGCGCCTCGAAGAAGATTGTCAAATATCAAAGTCAAAGCTGATTATTCTTTTGATACTGGAATTAAAAAAACAAACAAAAAACACCTCATTGTAGTTCACAGTAGACCAAAGTTTATGGTTCACAATATTAAACATTAATTACAACAGAAAACAAAAGAGCACTTGAATCACCATCATTGTAAAGATAAGAAAATATAAACGTTTTATGACACAACTGACCTGGATTTTGTGTGTGCTGCTTGTACTGTACTTGCTTTTTCTTTGTACCAGTGGGGAACTTTGTTATTTTTCTGTTCTAAAATGAGATTTGAGCTGCAGATGGTTGAATAACTAATGACAGATACAAACTTACATGTGTCATTCTGCTATTCATTGTGTTTCTTTTTAACCATATTCTATATTTTGTATAGTTTTTTTTTATTGATAATCCTCCTTTAGGGTTATTTTTTCAGTACTATAAAATAGTTTCAATAGTATAATTTATCTTTATTTTTCTTAAACAATATATCGTACTTCAAAATTTGGTACTGTGACATGCCTGTTCTGTAGCTTTAGAGGGCTATTATATTTAAGAATACATTTTCTTTTCTGCAAGATACAATTTGGCCATAGAGTAAATGTATAAATTAAATTAATATGTTAAATGTGGTGCAGCTGTTCTGTCTAGTTCCTTCATTGTTCCTGTTTTGGCTTTATGTTCCTCCACTCACTTGTTCAGGGCAAAGCACCTGCCCCAGTCACAGGTTGCTCTTGTCCAAAACTAGCTGCTGGATTTTTCCTTTCTAACCAGCAGTTTACCATACATGTCATATATGTATGTCAGAATACATTATATTGGATTAATTTTAACATTAACCAGTCAAAAATGTGGTATATAAGTTTGTCTCCAACACAAAAAACTTCTTCAGGCAAACACTGTACCAGTACAAAAGTAAAACTTTTTTTTTATTTGGAAGCCTCTACAAACTTTGCAGATGTTGGAACAACAAACAACAAACAAGACAGGAAGTCCAGAAGTGCCTGTGATCATAACTCAAACCATTCAAATGGAGCCTGCCAACACATACTGCAGCACAAACACATGCAAACTTCCTTATGACACTCCACAGCTGTAGCCACGATTATAATCTGCCTCCTCGTTGAGAAACAATGGACAATTTGCAAGTTATATAAAGTACATCCGTGCTTTGTGTAGGAGAGGGTACGTTATCAACCATGAAATAACAGCACCAATTAGAGTTATAGGGAAAACAGCATGATTTCTGGACAAGTAGGCACTACATTTTTATCTTTCATCAACGTTTGTCTCGTTCTCTGTATATCACTGAGGTGAACTCGGGCTGCACGATTTTAGAGAAAAAATATTAAATGCATAAGTATTACAATTGAGACTCTATAGATGCAGTATATGTAAAAAAAAAAACCATAGGATTCTGTCCAGAGTGCACATTGGAAACAACTCCAGGAGCATTAACATTTGAGAGAAGAATGAAATATGAACAGAACACTGGTTATTTTGTTCTTTCCAGCTGGCATTCTAACTAAATAAATAATTGTAGCCTTTGTGATTTGATGATTGCACCAATCAAATTCTTATTTTCATTTCATTGTGATATATTGTGTGTTAAAGGTCCTATATTATGCAAAATTGACTTGTGAGCTTTAAGTCATGTTAGAATGTTAGCTCCTCAAAAACATACCTAGAGTGTGTTTTGTTTCATTCACACACGTATGAATAACCCTAAGTTAGTTTGCTCAAAATGTTCTGTTCCACCTTGTGATGTCATGAACCAGTAATTTTCAAATTAATAACTACCTTTTACCTTTTGTTCAGTGGAGACTTGCAATTCCAAGAATAAAATTATCCAAATGATTCTAGTGAAAGTGTAGTAGAGTTTAAGAACACAGTGGAGCACTTCCTGTATTACCACATGACATCACAAGGTCTAACTGGGTGTTTTCTGTTTGAGAGAAGAACACAACCTAAATATGCAAGATTTCTGTTAAACCTGAGTGAATGAAAAAATATATAACTCAGGTATATAACTCATGGTGTATTTTGGATGAGGAAAAAAACATTACAACAGATGAGAAAAAAGGCCCTTGAAACCCTTTAAAGTAAAGACAGTCAGGGTGCAGCATCCTAACAAACATAATGGTTTTAATCAGCTATTGTCTTTTTCCATGCATCTGATCTTGTGCAGTCACTTTAACTGTAAAAACAATGAGTTCATAGCCACCCATGCTACATACTAGTCGATTTGTCGTTTCATCTTCCCGCACAGTAATCACTTGATATCTGATGGGAAAACAAGCAAATCACTACGGGCTTCAGATTACTAATGCCACACTCTTTCTTCATCTAAAACACCGTGAACAATTAATAATTAAAATTTAACATATAATAGATAAGAAATTAATTATTTAGACTTCCGAATTGGATAAAAATAGACCTGAGGCTTAAGAGAAGTCAGATTTTTATCGTGCAACATAGGGACCATTACAGTTTGCTGCAGTGGTCTACAGGCTCCCAGCTCACATTGTACAGTAACAAGAGCTGATGGCGTTAATTTGGGAGCATCAGTCAGCGTTGTGCATACGTAATCAGGCTGGGAATACAGTAGCTGCTGTGATGCCTCTAGGCCAACACAGCACTCACAGACAACATTTGTTCAAGAGCATTAAAATTCATAAGTGGGTAGTTGTTTGCTGGTTGCACTGATTTTACACAGTGCAGAAAACATACATAAAAACAAAAAAGCAGACCACTGCCTTCACTTTCAATGCTGTAAGAGTTTTAATGACATTCTATTTACAGTGTAATTAGTGCAGGGTGCATAAGAATAATCACAGGGCTAAGAGGTGCTTGACTCATGACTTGATGTGATGTGTTAGCCTATGACATTTTAATCGAGACCACAATCAGACCAGGGACTACAGAGCTAATTTTCATCACCTTAAGCCTGTATGATATGTTAACTGTGTCCTCGGTGAGCGAGGGAGTGGAAGAGCTATCAAAAGAATTATTAAAACAGACTTGTTAAATAAAGCCAAGGCTGTAGGTCTATAATAGATTGGAGAATACTTTTTTACAATACATTTTACACTACATTACATTTTTATTTTCATCAAAAGCCATGCTCTGATTGTTTCAAGTTTCCAGGGAAACCACTCACTTGTTCACTTGTGAACAGGTCTCTGTGCGCTCAGGTGAACTTTGTGGTCAACTAAAAGCAGGTCAAACTCCTGCATCTCTTGTCAGTGAGTTACCATGGATCCTCTGTGACCAGGACGAAACCGTCACTGGCACAGTAACATTAAGTATTGTTTGGATAATCGTGCACAAGCAGCCTCTGGCATTAAGACAGCTTTTATGTCTCTGTGGAAAAACTGTTGCAAATGGATACTGTCACAACAATACCAGCTTCCTAAAGCATTGTAATGTTATATTTAAAACAATCACATTTCAACTTTCCAACAACAGCAAATCAAGTCAAAACTAGTGTCTGCCCAATGTAAAAAAGAGAGCAGTTTTAAGTCAAAATTCATTTGACACATCTGTGGGTTTGAGCATTATAATGTGTGGTGCTACACCAGCCAGACCCCGACTCCAAGCACACTGCTCTATTCATCCACACTCTGGCCTGTTCTTAAAGAGGCTTTACAATGTAAACACAGCATGTGTTACAAAACATAGACTATCGGTGTTTGCTGAACATGTCTGTCTTGCGGTTTAACCTGGAACTATACGAGTGGTCTTTGAAAAGAAAACCAATGCGGGTTACATGGTTAGATCTTCACTCTAAAGACATCAAATCATTCAGAATTGGATGCACAAAAGCAGCAAGGCTATAAAAATGTACGCATATGTATGAGTTATCTTACAATATAATCTATTCTATGACCATATAATCTACTAGAAGGCTACCAGTAGTCCATTAGTAAACATATAGCTAAAGAAACTGTTATAAGTCAGTAACTTTTTGACAGTTGGCCATGGGGTGCCTTTTGCGGAAATTACACTCTTTGACAGAAGAATTAAAGTTAATAGCCTATAGCCTAATGATTGATTAGGCTTAGACTATCCCTTTATTGAGTACAAGTAGCTAATAGTAGGCTATACATCTCCACTTGAAATGACGCAGTTAATGTGACTGTTTATGCATATTCTGCTGAAGGGAAAGCAGTTTGGACATCACGTCCAAACTGATACCGTTACTTCCGCTTAGAAGATGAAGAAAGCCAAAAACCACCATCACAGTGTCTGTGGGCTTACACAGCCTGTGGTTCAAGGCCTTTGTTAGTTGTGATAGAAGAGTACCCTAAATTAAACAGTGTAGTGAACGTACGTGGAGTGAGCACAGTGCGTCTCTCGGGCTGTGGTTTGTTGGTAGTGCCCATTCCCATTAAAAGTTACCCAGACATGTAGGCAGTGGGTGATGTGGCTACTCACCCTTTTCTGAGTTCTGGAGACGGGACACTGTAGTGGTCAACCAACGAGAGGACAGCGTAATCTGGGTATAATTTCAAGTCTTCATCCTGGCACCGCAGAGGACTCGCCTCACACCATAGTACCACTGTGTCCAACTCCGTTTCCGCCAAAACGCCCTCGTCTCGAAGCTTGTTTTGTGTAATAGTGTATCAAGGGCAGTTGCGTGAATTATTGAAAACGTGTTTTCTTCTTTCTGCTGCAGCCAGATCGGTTACAAGAGTTTGGTGTAACCCGATTCCTCCTCCACCTCCTCGAAAAAAGTTTCAAACTTGTGGGGATCCGAAATCAACAGATTGATGTTGGCTAGAGCCAATGAAAGAGCAGGACCAACCCAATCAGACCAAAAGAAAGGACTTTTACAGCAGTGTACCCTGCCCCCTACAGGGTTTCCAATAGGCCTAATTATCCCAAGTACCCAAGGCTGAATGTTTCTTAGAGGATATGTTTAAGGAACAATAGCACTGTGTGACAGGAGAACATGATTTTACGTTTTACTTTTCGATGTGAACTCATTTTTTATTATTTACCTACTCCACATTTTCTATTGCAATTGTGTCCATTTGGAGTAAACCTCTGGAGCATCTCTACAGCCAACCCCAATCCCACCGAGATGTAGGGCAACATAGGAATAGACATGGAGGAGGGGGCTATTCAGCGGATGTTTTCAGGATACGGGAAGTTCGTACAATAATGGGCGCAGGAATTCCGCTGGTTCGGATAGGGTTGTTCAATTGTCAGAATGCCAGTTGTAAGATATTACGTTTCATAATGTTACAGATATTTTCCTTCATTGACATGAGTTCCTCGATAGTTCGAAGTAGTCCTAAACCCGATCGTAATTGACCTGGAGCGTCCTCTTGCGGCTCTTTAGGAGACCTACTTGCGGTTGTTATGAACAAAAAAGATAAGCACATGAAATAAAATACAGCTATATTTAAACGTGTTTTTTTTCTTATTTATTTATTTAGGTCTCTCAATTTAGTTGTTTAATGTGATAGAGATGCACGGTATCCAGTAGGTCTACTCTCATAATTCTCTCATCTCTCACAAGCAGAGACCCTTTAATGTGATTAACATAGTTTTATATTTTATATATTATTATTATTATTATTATTATTATTATTATTATTATTATTATTATTATTATTATTAGTAGTAGTAGTAGTAGTAGTAGTAGTAGTAGTAGTAGTAGTAGTAGTAGTAGTAGTATTTAAGACGTTGAAAAATATGAGTTCTGTACACGCTTGTAAACTCCAAATCCCAAAATACTTAGGGAGGCCAAATAAGGCCGGAAGATGACGTATACGGCCGACGTGTCAGGAAATCTTGAATTCAACATGGCGGCGCAGCAAACTGATGTTGACGAGCTTTTTGATGTGAAAAATGCCTATTATATCGGCAGTTATCAGCAGTGCATCAATGAGGCCCAAAAAGTTAAGGTAAGTAAGACTGGAGTAATAGCAATAGCGTTATAGTTTTACCAGACAATGGTTGTAGAAAACCGTGTAGCAACTTAGCTGTGATGCGATACCATTCAGAGGCTAACCAAGACTAAATGTTATTGAATTATAATGCTGCTTTTGTGTTTGCTCTATAGCCGTCAACACCAGAGAAAGAGGTGGAAAGAGACATGTTTCTGTACCGAGCCTACATTGCTCAGGTAACATGAAAGGCAACTAGCCCACCCCTCAGGCACACCAAATTACGAATATGATTTACTTATTTAAATGTTTAATTGTAGAGAAAGTATGCAGTAGTCCTGGATGACATCAAGTCCAACTCTCCCCCAGAACTCCAAGCTGTTAGAATGTTTGCTGAGTACTTGTCCTGTGGAAATAAAAGGTAACATTAACCTGCCTATCTAGAACCTGTCATGTATTACGACAATCAGAATTTCATAATTTCAATATAATAATTATCTGATTGCTGCTATTGTCCAGGGATGTAATTGTTGCTGATTTGGATAAAATGATGGCGAAAAGCATGGATGCAGCCAACACAACCTTTCTCCTTATGGCTGCTTCCATTTACTACCATGAACTGAATACAGATGCTGCTCTAAGGACTTTACATCAGGGAGAGACTCTGGAATGGTAAGATATCGTAATAACTATAAGGGTGCGGTCACAGTTGTACATGTTTTGTAATCCTGTTCTGTTTTAGTCCTTTTTTAGTCCTGGTCTAGTCCTAATTTAGTTTTAGGTTTAGTTCCAGTTCTGTCCCAATTTTAATTGTGTTTGTTTGTACAAGTGTGAACGCACCCTAAAAACCCCAGACTGTCATTTAGCTTTTAAAACTGACAGAATACATTTTCCCTTTCAGCATGGCCATGAGCATTCAGGTTCTGCTCAGTCTGGATCGTGTTGACCTAGCAAGGTAAGAAAGTACTGTATTTGTGACCATAATTGTTCAGGTGTGTTTCATTTAAACAGTGCTTGGGTAGGCCATTTTAAGTTATTATCATAGATGTTTTTTTTTATTTTATTATTATTATTATTATTATTTTTTTTTTTTAACAGGAAAGAGCTGAAGAAGATGCAAGAACAGGATGAAGATGCTACTTTAACTCAGCTAGCCACAGCATGGGTTAACATTGCTGTAGTACGTATACAAATGCATGTGAATTGCAACAATTAACTATGAAAGGAATAGAATGTGAATAAACCCTTTTTTATTTCTGGATACTATGTTTATAACAGTAATTGCATACAGGCTTAAAGTTGTACCATGACCCCAGTGGGACATGGTACAACTTTTAGTCATATCTTAAATAGTTAATATTTTTTTTCTTTTGTTTTAGGGGGGAGAGAAGCTGCAGGATGCTTACTACATTTTCCAGGAAATGTCTGACAAATATTCCTCTACGCTGCTCCTTCTCAATGGGCAGGCTTCTTGTTACATGGCCCAAAACAAATGGGAGGAGGCTGAAGGAGTCCTACAAGAGGCTCTTGACAAGGTGTCTAGAGATGACAACAAGCTATGACAACAAGCTAATGATGAGGGAGCATAACATGGTTAAAAGCTCATAAAAGTTTGCATAATACAATATGCCTTTTTTAATGTTAGCACTTTAGATTGTATATTTTCCTAAACAAATAACTTATCTTTTGAGACGGCAACAATGCTGCAATATTTCTTGCTGGTTAGCTGTTAACTTTCTAACTCAAACTAGTTGGAACCTCAGCCCCTCAATTCAAAAGCCTGAGCACCTGCATGAATGCACCCTATGACTATTTAAGTTTACAACATTTTCTCACCGTTTTAGGTGTTACAAACACATTCTAACAGTAGATGGCAGCATTTTTGTTACTTAGTTAACAGATGACATTGTTTATTGTAGGCTTCTGGAAACAAAAAGTAAATTTATCTTGTGACAATGCATATTAATGAACATACAATGTAACATTTTGTAAAAATAGTTTAAGATTTAATACTACTTTATTATTCTTCATCATAACCTATTTGGGTGCATCATGAAAACATGCTTGTATAGAGAGCAGTAACCATTCATTCGTGACTCATTTGTTTGAACCACCACCAGTGCTTACTAGAATATCATTACAAATTTGTGAATTCCAGGTGCCACAGTGGGGCGTCGTTGTGTCCTTAGGCAAGACACTTCACCCACATTGCCTAGTATGAAAGAGGTGTGAGCGTGAGTGATGGTGGTGGTCGGAGGGGCCGATGGCGCAGATTGGCAGCCTCGCTTCTGTCAGTCTGCTCCAGGGCAGCTGTGGCTACAGTAGTAGCTTACCACCACTGAGTGTGGAGTGACTGAATAATGAACTGTAAAGTGCTTTGGGTATCTTGAAAGGCGCTATATAAATGCTGTCAATCAATCAATCATTAATTTTTTTGAACATGCAAATATTATATATGCATATTATAATGCATTTGTTACATATAATATGTATGCTCTTTTACTGTGTGCAATAATAGTAGTGGCTAACATGTTTGTTTATCTTGGGTATTTCAGGATAGTAGCCACCCCGAAACACTGATCAACCTTATAGTGCTGACTCAACACCTGGGCAAAGCACCTGAGGTGAGACTTTGAACCCAACGCTGTTAACAAACACAGTTCATATAGGTGGTCCATTTAAACCAATCTAACTTCAAGTATAGAAGACATGCATTGGCCAACTACAAGATGCCCTATCTAATCTAGTCTCTGATTGCTTGAGCCATCCCATGGGTCACCTAAGCATATCTCCTGATTTATTGCTGTGTTTGGGGTTTTCATCTTGACAGTCAGGAGTTCATAAGATAAAGGCTCTGTGATTGATCTTACTTGAGATGAACTTCATAGTATTGCACCAGCATGTGACTTGAAGCCATCACTGCACAGTTATAATTACTGCTGAATTCTTGGAGTGTGTCTATCATGATTAACTCTACTTTCAAAAACACATTTTAAATCTATGTTAATGTGAATTTGACTGCCAGTGTGTATTACTTTATTTATGTCACTTTATAGTTTTGATTTGTTCTTTGCTCCTCTGTAGGTAACCAACAGGTATCTATCACAACTCAAAGATGCACACAGAAGCCATCCATTCCTGAAGGACTATCTGGCTAAGGTAATGTCAATTCACTACCTCAGCTATCATGAATACAACTTGACTTAAAGGAGTTTAATTTATCCTTTAATTTGCAATAGATAAACTCCTGGGTAATTATTACTTTTTATTACTTGGAATGCAGCTGTAACCTTTTAGCCTTGAATAATTCAATTGCCATGCTTGCTTGTTTTGGTTCTCTGTAGCAGGTGTCCTTGGAGCAAATCCAAAGGGAGATCATTCAACTTTGAATCTTTGGCCTTTGTAACTTTGTAGTATTTATGAGTGTATATAAAACTAGAGTGTCACAAACTGATTCCAAAAGAGCTGTTATGGTATTACTTAGAGTTTGGTAATATGTTAAAATATATATATTATTTTTGGGAGCCAGATCACATTTTTGTCTTGTTTGTACAGACAGCGGTATTACATGGAGAAATTGTGTATCACTGTACATCGATAGTCACTGACATTATGACAGGAATTGGGTCACAATTTGAGTTTTTATCCCCATATTGTTTAACCCTACAATTATTATTACAACTATATAACATATTTCCTTACTGTTTTTCTTTGTTTTCCCCAGGAGAATGAATTTGACAGACTAGCGATGCAGTATGCCCCGACTGCTACAGCATGAAACATTTACTCTTGATAATAAAATGTGTTCATTTTATTTTATTCATCTTTCTATTCCATACTCATGATCAACTTTGTCCTTTGTAGCTTGTAAAAAAACAACTCTTTGTGTAATGTGAATTGGGCTGTATTTAACTCTACAAAACAACTAATAATATAATATTTCGTGTTGTATAATAAAGCATTATCTTTAAACTGTAATAGACCCTTTAAAGACATCATGTAATGCTTAATTTCTAATGATTAGCCTGCAATTAGTACATTAGCTTGACAAATGATTTGTGACCAAAATAAACTCAGCCCATATTAAAAAGAAAAAAAAAGTATTCTTTTTTTAAATTTGTTACACCTTGAGATTCAAAATCTAGGGCAGAACACTAGTATTAAATCATTTTGTTGCTATGGATATGAGCATTTTACACACCAAAAAGATGTATTAAAAGGTGCACTGTGTTGGTTTTCTGGTGGAGGGTCTATAATCTGCTTGTCTCTTGAAATATTTGCTCTTTCACTGTATGGTATCCACTTTGTTTCAGAATGAAAAAAGTAGGACTGTTGCCATACTGCTTAACAATAAAAACAAAACAAAAACAAAAAAAACGTTTGCACCCAACGGAAAGCTGTAACCCACGAATATTGTTATTTTCATTCTTTTAAATAACAGGTGTTTTATTGGCAAAAATCCTTTTGGTGCAGTCAGATTGCTACATATGTAGCAGAGTTATGTTCTAGTTTTTCCTCGAGTGATACAGAAAAGAGGGAGCAAGTTTGTGTGAATGTTCATGTATGTTGCTACACATGTAGCGATCTAACTCCATAATGTCACATGCCATTTCTCGGAAAATCACAATCTCTTTGGGGAAGAATAGGATTTGAACCCTCCACCTTTAAACTTATTTGCCCCTTTAAAGCAAAATGTACACTATTCGGGAGCGGCATGTGCACCACTGTCTCTTTAAGTGAACCTTATTTTTTTAATCCTCAGAGCAGCGTGTTCAAAAAGAAAGATAGCGGTCTGCGTTACGTCACGCCCCCACGGCGTCTTTTTTCTATTTTGCATAAACGCACGCGGCGCGGTTGTCTCCTTTTTATTCCTGAGCCGCTGAAGCTGAGCGCGGCTCTTCTCCAGATCGCAGCTTGGTAGCCCCCATAGACTGTAGCCCCCCGCACTACGCACCGGTCCAGTCTAGAGCAGCAGCGGCGAGGGAGAGGAGTGAGAGAGAGAGCCCACCGTAGCCTCATCTCGGAAGGATAAAGCCTTTTGATTTCACGTTTTCGCTTCGCCGGGCCAAGTTACCATTAAGTAGTGCTTTTGGTCCGACTCTGATGGGATTTTGCAGCTGTGTAAACTGAAGAAACGGCGCGGCGGCGTTATATAAGGCGAAAACGTACAGAGATGAGAATGAGATCGACGGCATAGCGGCACAATAATCGCATGTGCTGGTAGGGCTTGGCGCTGAAATGCTACCAAACCTCAATGAACACGGGCCTTGTCTTTGTATATGTACATAGCATCTTATCTATAATTAATTTATTAGAGAAATACCCTACACTGGAATTGCTGCCAGTGCTAATGGTGTTTTTATGTTACGTTTCTTTTATTAACTTAGCTAAGGCTAGCCAAAGCGCGCTGCCGCTGGTGTGTCCTGCGTAGCGGAATGATGAGCAGACAAAACCTCTAACTGACTGGCGTTAATGGCTCCTATTAACTACCTAAAGTCTATTGAAGAATAGCTGTAAAGCATTATTATTAAGTCTCCCGTGTTCAGATCTGCTGGCCCGTTATTTCAATACATGTTCTATACAAAAATGTTTTCAATGTGGGCCATGTCTTAATATGGAAAACAAAGAATTAGCTACTGAAGAGGGTAAGCTGGTTAGATAAGCTTGTTTTGCGTTTAAGGTGAGGTTGCAAGCTGATTGGCGGATTAGTGACACGGCGTGGACTCTGTTGCTCCTTGGGCTCGGTATCTTTTAATTTTTTCTTGGGTTCACGCTTTTCTTCTCATCTCCAAGTACCACCATCATGGAGAGTCACCATGAGGGTGCTGAGCCGGTGCAAGTGGAACCCATGCCTGGATACTTGGATCTCATCATCAAGGCATCTTCGTCCATGTTCGGCGCATGGAGAGACTGTAGTGCCTGTGGGCTGGAGCTTTCCAAAAGGACTCTCCTGGATAACGCGTACATCACGTGGATTGAAATCTTCCTCTTCTTCTTCTGCGCCTTTTTGTGGACCCAGGTCAGGCGGGGATTGACAGAAAGTCTGTTCCAGGTACGTAACCATAGCACCAAGACAACCAAGCCTCCCTGTTTTCCATAAGGTGAATTAAACACCCTTAATGAATAGGATTATTGGCTCATTCCTCTAATTAGAATGTCAGTGCTGCTGAAACATGGCCTGCTTCTATCATTAACAGGCTACACAACATGGATAACACTTGGTAACAAATATTTGACAAGCCAGAGCACAAATTGCTGTCAGACTTCACCAGTCTCAGAAAATATTAACCTGACCTAAGACACTAAGTTAGGCTCTACTCTCTCTCAAGGTCCACATTCATTCATGTCATACCAATTCTTTGCCCTAAACATACATTTTCTCTGTTCTTGACACTGGCTATTGTATATGTCCCTAAACTGCCCACTTTTTACAGAGAATGTTTTGGGAAAGAGCCCTGACTCAGTGATGCCAAGGACGTCTTGACACATGAGCCATTCAAAGGAGGAGCAGTTGAACTTGTTTCAGTGCTGTCATTTAGGCCAGTGATTTAAACATCACTTTTTGAAACCGTAATAAATCTTATTAGTTATAGTTATGGTTATAGTTATAGCCCCTCACCACTAGGATAAGTCAATTAAGGCTTACTGTCCACATATTTAAAGTCACTGATGTATTTAAAATGTCTGCCACTAATTGGAGAATGTCACATTTAGTTCCCATCAGGCCAGATGTCCAGTCTATGTCTGTTGGACGCCTATACAGCCCATTGCCTGAATCATTTGCACTGTTACTGTGTAAGTCAGCCCCACTGTGATCCCCACCCTGTTAATGCCCCAGGGAGGGGCCCATCTGCACACATACCCGGGCCTCAGATTTGATATTCTACCATCTTCAGTGGGTGGGGGAAAAGGAGGGGTCATTTGCTCCTTACATGCTACAATGATGATGTTATAGCGCTGGCCTCATGTCTAAATCCAGATGTGGCCTGAGAATGCATGGAATGAGAACTGTTTCCTTTTTTAGTCTATGTGACTCTCATTCAAGGAAAGACTTTAACCTCAAACAGATCTGAGTTATTCACCTCTATATGTCTTTGTGGAGGGGCAAGGTTCACAGTTAGGTCAAAGCAATGCTATGGTGAATAGCACATACAGTAGATAATAAAAAGCTATGACGAGAATGACCACATTAGTCGCTGTCTGTGAGGCACCGAGGCCTAATTAAGTCCATTCTTTGAGTTAGACACATACACCATTCTGTAAACATGAGGTGATTAAATGTCTGCCCATAGGAAGCAGTGCAATCCCTATGAGTTATGATTCCCAGTACAATGCTGTCTTGTGACCACAGATAATGAGTTTGTTTTTTGTCATGCAAAGCATTTTACTACAGTGAATGTTTATATTAATATTTAGATGTTGTTAAAGGTTTCCATTTTAAACACTGTTTTGACATTTGTCTGTCACATTTCCGCAGTTTGATCCATTTTCCTCAAGAGCAGATAAAAATAATTAGCTTCCTGTTTGTTACTTACAGTCACGTTTGAAGAATGAAACTTGACCTAGTTCAAACCAAACTCCACATTTGCAGCCTACAGAATCCAGGTTTAAATGAGAGTTTGTTTTTCGCCCTCTTGTTGTCACTTTGTTGGCAGAGACAGTGACAGTGAGTGGACTTTAGCCTTGTCGACTGAGAGCTGTGAAATGAGGTCAGCACCTGGAGCCAAAGCGGCCTGTTCTCTGTGTCACTGCTGTGGAGTTCATGCTAAACCAGAATGTAGGAGACGATGCATTTACTGAGGGCCATCATTCACATTCTGCTGGCACTCAGGCAGAGCGGTTTTGGGGGTGGTGAAGGCTTTTGTATAGAGCGCTGTGTGTGTTTTGTAATGTTCAATTATCTCTGGGTTCAATGAAAATGCTTGTCGATGGACCGCTTCACATTGACACTGGCATTCAAAAATTGTGTTCAAAACAAATACCACTCAGATATGGATGTAAGAACAGAATAGTTCATTTGTGGCAGTGTAAAGGCTTCTTGTTTATATGTTTGCATGTTTTGATATGAGGATGTGAAACTATTAAGCAGCAGTCTCAGAGACTATAATGGGAGCAATGAGGAAGCAAAGGGGTTTACACTGTGTTTTATAGTTTGTAGAAGTAGTCATTGCAATCAAGCTTAAGACTTCTCCTGATTCAGCAACTCTGAGTAAACTTAAAAATGATCAACAAAATATCTGGAGGTGTCTAAATTCCTGATGGGCTGCAGTCACGTATATTGTGTGTGCTGTAGTCTGACGCTCACACAGGCACACACTCAGTGACAGAGCAGAGAGAGGTGGCTGCCAGCCCGGCCTTGTTGCAGAGCTTATCTTGCTGTGGAGCTGTAGCACCTCATACCCCAATGTTCTAAATGTGAAAGCAGTCTGAGGTTTGACAAGATCCACAACCACAGAACCCAGATCTGGTTCCACCGGGCACTTGCTCATTGTTGTGCATTAGAGCCACAGAGAGAAACTCAATATAGGATTTGTGGTCAGAGGAAGTGCCATCCGCTCAGCTAAAAGTGCTCACTCAGGTGAAAGCGGCTTGTAATTTTGACACTGATTGCTTTGCAAATTATTGAGCTGATGTTTGAATGTTTTAGTAACATCCTCATGACTAGGCCCATGTGTTTGTCATCTCATGGCATTAACCTGTGCCCTGATGTGTGCTACAGTGCCTTACATTATATATAATGCATAAGACTTCAGAATCTGCATATCTGTTATAAGTAGGCTAAGCTTACATGCAGTCCTCCTGATTTGTCTTTCACTTGAGTATGTTTGAGGTACTGTTGCTTGTTACATTTTCAATAGTAACTGGCATGCCTCATGTTTTATTGTTTTATTTATATAGTTTTAACCTGGAAACAGAGTATGTGTTTTGGTGTCTTAGGTCTCCAGTTAGTGCAGCCCTTTGATACCCCATCTATGTGGACACTCTTATATGTGTTTGTATTCTTACACATTTGCAACTGTTATACTGTTATAACTGTTATTTGAGTTTTTGAACATCAGAACACCACCTGCCTTCTTTCTTTACACTTTATAACATTTTATTTACATTTTTGTTCATAATCAAGATTTTCAGTGGCAGCCCATCACAGGACAATGCATGAATGGACTGCCGGACCGTCCTCTGGACTGGAGTGGTTACACTGTTTTTCCACTTGTTTTTGCGAGTGCTGTTTTTTGGCTTATTTTTCTTCCTTAACATAGCGCGGCATAAGCAGATTGCCGCCATACACTTTTCCCTGGACAGCTGTTAAGTTATAACAAGGCTACGTTTAAACTGAGGAGCGCCACAGCACAATGGCAAAACAGAAGCAAATGTACAGACTCACTTTTTCTTCAATCATCTCCTTGTCATTGACAGTGTCTGTTTTATTTAAATAAACCCATAAGTAAAGAATAGAATGTCCCTTGGTCACACTGCTGTTATACTGAAGCTTTTAGCTCATTGCTATAGCAGCAGTGCCATGAATCGTCACATTTTCTCCCTTCACTGCCCCTTGCCACCAACATGTGATGTTCTTTCCTGTAAACACTGCAAACAGCTCGTTTGTGTAACACTTTGAGAGCGGGACCTGAGGACCTGACATCTGGCAACAATTATGAGGTGGTTCTGCTAAAATGACTGACTATAAAGGGATGTTTTACACTTCCCTCTACCCACCAGACAGCTTACAAAGTGTGACAGCATCCTACAAAGAAATTCAATTACTCCAAACCATAACATACAGCTTCTTGTTTCTTTTGTATAACTATTTTGTAATTATTGTCTCTTTAATGCATTTCTGAATCAATAATGCTCACCTCATTTCACTTACACAGTTATTTAATACAGTGGTGAATGATAATGCATCTTTATGTAGTAATATAATTAGAACTTCTTCTGTGGCTAAGATTTCTAAACTGGTCAATACCCAGAAAACAGAAGCATTAGGACTTTGTTTTGGGAATGGTGGTGGATTTATTGGCACAAACTGTCCCCTCTCATCTTTATTTTTTGTATTAATCAACATGATTCACTGGAGCTGCAGGAAAATGACTTTCTGTATAGTTTTTACAATTATTTTGAAGTGGTGTTGCTTGGAGTGCATGTGGGCATGTGTTGTGAGCCAGCTTTAGATTATCTGTGGGTGGATAATTATAAACTTCATAGCTGCTGCTGTTGGACAAGACACACTCCCATACCATTTCTGTCTGTGTTGCCACTAGTTTTGATACTGCATTATGAATGACAGTCATATGTTTCATATTTGGGTTATTGGACTAGTAAGTATATTGTGTACAACTTTAAATATTTATAGTTAGTTAAGAGATCATTACAGAAGAGATACTAGTATGTGAATGTTCTGGCTTTCTTACATGACAGTGAATGACAGTGCTTACCAAACTAAGCCTTGCATATTAATGTTAATGTGTGATATAGTCAAAAACATGTATTTCGATTTTATTTGAACAGGGACAATAGAATACACAGCACTAGAACATATTAACACGTTTACTCAAGACAAAACATCAACATTTACATTTAAGTTAACAATGTACAATAAATATGATAATACATGTTTGCAGATTCACTTACATGTTGATAGGTAGGATATAACTTACAGAGCAGCATTTAACCACTCCTTCTGGCCTCCCAAACTTTATAATGTACATAGGTAGGTTATATTATAATGTGCATTGGTAGGTTACTGTAATGCTTTTATTTTCTTTGCCTTCTTCAAACAGGTGCATCTAGGCCAGTCCCTTTTGCTCTTCATACAAGGACACATTCAATTTAGGCTGAACAAATACAGAACTGAAACAAGTAGCACTATAAATAGGCTACAACTCAAGCCATTATTTCAGGCAGTGTTGTAAGTGTGGCCAGATGAAGTAAGCTACAGTAGCTTCACGAGCATCAATATGAAAATATTATTATATAAAATATAAAATATAATAATATAAAATTCGAATGAGGCTGAGCCCTGCCTGTAGTGTGTGTGGATTCTTGCAAATT